TGAGATGATTTCATATATGATATTCTCCTACAGTGGGCAGTTTTTCTTTCTTCCAGTCCCAGCCTTTGCCTTCTGCAACTTGAGCAGTGTGGCTGGAGCGCTTGCCAGTGAAGACTGAGGCAAAAGAGTCATTGAGTACCTCAGCCTTCCCCATATCCCGGGTAACCAGGTCTCCCGTTTCCTTCCAGAGGGGGACCACATTTTCCCTAGCCTTCTTTTTATCACTGATGTACCTGTAGAAGCTTTTCTTGTTGCCCTTGATGTCCCTGCTCAGATTTAATTCTAACAGGGCTTTAGCTTTCCTAACCTGGTCCCTGGCTGCTCAATTCGTCTTGAATTCAAGGCAGCTGGGGCTGTAGGCCCACATCACAAAACTTAATGTCTACAATGCTTAAAACTAATGGTTTTATTAAAAGCAATCTCTTTTTCTACGGTCTGCATTTTTCCATATTATGCTTTTTTCCCCACCACATTTTATCACCCCAAAATACAGAACAGAAACCATAAAAACAAGCACAAGCGCAGTATTTTCCTTTGGTTATTTGCTGAGATGTTAACACCTAATGTATTTTCAAGCCCAAAGAATATCATTGCCACCCAAGGTGGCTGATGCAGGGTGCTCTCCAGCCTATTAAACACTGCTGAAGGGAGGTAATACTAGGACTCACCTTTTTTCTGAAAGGATGGATCTAAGTGGGCAACTTCCCTTCACTTTTGAGAATCATGTGAACAAAGTATAGAATCGGTCCTGCTGGAAAGATTTGATCCACAAACACCTGAAATTTAGGAAATTATCCTTCTATTGATTTTAATAGACTTTGGATTGGACCTTGTTGCCAGTCTCATTAGATTTTTAGCAGTTCTATGGGATCGTGATTATTAAAAAAATGGTTCCAATAAATAGCTGGTGACAATAAATGACAAAAATATAAAAAGAAAAGTCGAAGGGAATGAGATCGATACCATTTTTAGCAGAAAGCATCATATCTGCTTCTGTCTGTAGGGCCACAATTAACTAGTAAAAGCTCATTACGGTTGGTGACAGTCTAGAAATAACCATCAGTCACCCCTGTGAAATCCTTTTTGTCAAGAGCTTAATTTGTATCAGGCCTTCTAAAAAATTGAATGTGACACTATTGCTCTGAAGCTATTAACAAAAGAGCTTCCAGTGCACATGCCAGTGTAGATTAATATACACTTATATGCAATTTTTTTATATCTATCTGTCTGTCTGTCTGTCTGTCTGTCTATCTATCTATCTATCTATCCATCCATCCATCCATCCATCCATCCATCGCTTACTATGATCAAGTGATCAGGAAATATTTTCTGATGCAAATTTAGTCTTTAAAAGCGATTTTAAGACTAAGGGTTAGCGAATACAACTCTAAACAAAGAAAGGTAGCCGACAAACTTTAACTGAGCAACAGATGGATAGAGGACTGGGAAGCAAAGGTGAAATCACTTATATTTTTAAGCAATTTGCTTGGAAATTCCTTAAAGGATCTTTCTTTATTGAAGCAGAGTATTGCACCTGGGGTAAAAAAAAAAATTAGTGGTGTCACTCTAAGTTGCAGACCATTCCTGGGAACGAACTGTGGAACTACTGGGAACTCACTGGAAAAGTGTTCTCAAATGCTCTTTGATGCTGGAGAAAATTCAGTCAGACTAAGTAGCTTTTGGATGACATAATATAATGTTTTAAGGGTGTTTGTTTCTTTTTAAAAATCTAGAGGTTCTTTTTAAATCTAGGTGGTTTCATAAATTCTTAATCATTGACAGGAAAATATCTGCTGAGTATTTGTGCTGAAACATTTACTGACCTTATAGATTCTTCCAGTCACCTGGCATCTGTAGTGACATTGTCTAGTACATATAAAATGACCTAGTACCTGTACAATGAGTTACATGCAAGGCTGAGGTTTTGGCAAACCTGTCTTAATGGAAAAGAACCATCTGCAGCTTTGATCTTGTAATTTAAAATAATGACAACATCATTGTACAGCATATGAAGCAAACTTAAGCCTTGTGAAAAAAGCTCTTAGCAATTCTTCAAACCAAAATATTGCATCTCTCAAAAAAATTACACTATTTTACAGGCAGAAGAAATACACCTATTGTATTTCCATACCTTAGTTTCCTATTACACAAACACTTCTAGATTACAACAGCTCAATCTTCATGTCTTTTTTTAATTCTCTACTTATCTTGCCAAAGGGAACAATTATAGCATTGACGGAATTTTTTTAACTGGGAATAAGACAGCTAAGCTCATTTAACAGAAGCCACAGAGCAGCAGTATTGTGCCTTGACATCGTGTTGGAGCAGAGCTCACACAGAACACACCACGGACCCAAGGTATATTCCAACATGGGTAGGAGACAAACTATTTTACCTTGCAGTTCGGTGTTAATACTGAGAGTCCTTTAAGTTCACCTATGGCAAGGAGTTGTGTCTTACTCAGGGAAACTACAGAGAGGAACTGTTCTCAGCCCTCTCCTCCATTAAATGAGATTTGCATCAGTCCTTTACATCCTTTTGAATTCAGAGGGACACAAAGGCTCAGCCACCATCCCTTCTCAGGCTCTGCCTCAATCTCAGAGGCTCCTACAGAGGCAGAAAAACCCTGCAGCAACATACCTAAAGACATGGGGCTGCACAAACAAGATAACATTCTTAGAGGTGACTCATTACTATGTGAATCAAAGGACACAGCCTCTCAACGTCTGGATGCTTGCATATATACTGCAGACTATATTGTATTATAGATTTCGCTAGTTGCAACTGCTGGAAATTAAAAAAACAAACAAACAAACAACAAACCCCACAACCAAATCCCAATACTATGACACATAGGACAAATTTACATGCACAGAAAGTGCTTCTTGAGACCAAATGCAAGACTGTGAATACTCCCCTCTACGTAAAATCCCCCACATACAGAAAAGCACTCATCATCTTTAAAGTTGATCTCTTAAGGGCCTCATTCACAACTAGCATCCTTAATAGTGGGAAAATGAGAGTTTTCAAGATTTCAGGCATTTAGAAGAAATCAGGAATATAATTTGTATTTTGGTTTCTTCTACTTTTTTCAGTATTTAGTGACATTTTGGGAAACATAAGCCATTTAAACTTATCTGATCAATGTGTTAATTTTTCCTTTTCCTTCCCTTGTTCTTTCTTCATAGAAAGAATTCTGCTTCACAAGAACAATTGCTGCATGTATGTTAAATGCATTTGGAATCGATTAACCTTCTTGCCTGAGGGAAGTAGAACCATGGTTTTAATTGTAGGAGGTAACACTGACAATTTTTAGTCAGGTCAGAGTTTGGGTTCATATAGGGATGGCATATAGAACATACTATATGCCTGTATGTTCATATAGGCATACAGGTTCCTGCACAGCCTAGGGTAACAAAATCTTATTGACTTGCACATTGTCAGACATAAAGCTGGTAAAGCCAGTCACTAAACTACCAATAGAAAAAGGAAAGACAAACAATGCCTTTATCAAGCCTGCACAGCCTACAGGTTAGTAAACCTTATAAAACGGTCACTGGTACAATTCACCCAGAACCCTGATCGGTTTGTTCTTGTCTTTTCCATATCCTAGTCAATACTTTGCATGGAAAACAGTGTGAAAAACACTTTTTTTTTGTAGTCATAAAGTGGGAATTCCTAATCAGTACAGATGACAGCAGCAATTTTTACTTAGATGCAATGACTTAAATTAGCACTGACATTTGTTGTCCATGAAATGCATGTAATATTGAGTCTAATTTGATACAATTTAATAATATTCTAAGGACCTCAATCCATTTAAAAACAAACAAAACCTATTGCTTGATGCTCAGTAAGAGGTTTTACAATTATGACATTATTGCATAATGGTTCCCAGAAGCACTTCTGTAGCTAAAGCTCTGCCATGATTTCCATTGCAAAGTCTGCCTTTGAGGGTTTTATAAATGGAGTTATTTCAGTTCATACTGTACTGTAGCTTGGTGTATATTATATGGGAACATTTGCATCATGTAAGAATTTAGGATTCCATTTTGTTCCTCTTGTAGACCTAAAACTGTCTTAGACTTTGGCTCCATTCCTCCATTTAACAGGCTCACTGGGACACTGACTGCAAAAAAATACGTTAGGGCTTTTGTTGTCAAGAAAAGTATCTGGCTACAAAGTCGCTGTGTAGGCTTTTGCTTGCATTGCCAACATACTTCACTTCTGATACTCAGTACCTGTTGCTATTTTGCTCCTACAAGCTCTCTGAACCGTACCAGGAATATAGCAACTCACTCCTGGTGAGAAACTTTGTCAGGGACCGCGCATCTCAACCTTCTTTTTTTCTCAGATGCTTGTCTTACTGTCTTAATAATCTTCTTGTGTATAACAGAAAAAAAATTATACAATTTCTTTAGTTTTATGGTTTCAGTTGTAGCTTCCCCCAGTATGAAAAAAAAACCTAGCAAACTTTTCAATGTTACATTTTGAGGAAATGCAAAGTAGGCCCCTGTGTAATGTGGGTGCAATTTGGCAACCTGAACACACATATTTCCACAGTGCTCTATTAACAACTGATAAGCAATATCTAGAATGTTTGACTCCTTGAGTTTTTACTGAAGTCTGCAAGAAATTACAGTTTCTAAAAGTGATTTTAAGTATTTTCCCATTTGTGACAGCTGATACAATTATCACTTCAAGTAAACCTTTGCTCAAATTAGCTTTGGCTGTACATGCAGATACACTATAATTCTAGTTTCAGTTGACTTGACACTGTATAGTAAAAAATAAGGAAAAAAAGTGTAACATTAGTATTTGTCTGAAGTACACTAGATCCCTTCTCAAAGTTCAGAATAAAGGTGCTATGCACTCTCAAGAATAACTGTTTCTACCATGTAACAGCAGAAGCTGTGATATGGCATGTATATATATATATGGCAGTTATTTAACACTGTAACGCCAAGAATGTAAGCAATAGATAGAGAACGACAAGTTGCTTTCATAGGAAGAACACGTCTCTATCCTTCTATCATTCAAATCTTTGCTCCATACGGTTTATAACCAGCTAACGTAACACTGAAGCAGGAATCAGCTTCTAGCACTCTGGTGCCTGACAGGACCCTCCTTATGGAGGCTGTATCTCACAACCAGTAAAGCATAAATTTGGCACTGAGTTCAAGGCATCCTGTCAAGACCAGAGCATACCATTATAAGAACCTATACGATTACCAGATGCGCCAAGTACTTCTCCAGAACATGATCTGAAATCTGACATACGTTGGGGACTGCAAATATTGTTAATGTGAGGTTATTTACAGAGATTTTTGTTAGGAATTTTCAAGTACGTGTTCTACCTACACATAGAGTTTAAAATGGGAATTCATCATTATCTTGGCTCAGATCTCACACAGAGCAAAACCGCATGTCCAACGAGCTCTATGTTCTATATACACATACACAAATATACAGAAGTTATTAGCGTTACAAGTCAACAAGACACACAGTTATCCTTTTCCTTTATTAAACCTAAACTGTTGTACTGAGCTTCAACTAAAAGTAGTATATTAAAGTGATGCAAATCTACTATCATCAGTATTTGGAATAAAATACTTTATAACTGTAGGGATTTTTAAGAAAATAAACCTCACTAATTAGTTATTACTTACAGAAATTAAGAAATGTAATCTAACTTTAAAACATTATTATCCTTTTCAAATAAGGAAAAACACTGTGCTTTGGTGATTCTAATACATTCTTCTAAGTTTTTGTTACTGGCAGTCCATTATCATACAACATTTTTAATGGATAACAGCTGATATATTACTACTCGCATAAGCATTTACCCAACCGTGCACAAGAACATAAGGAGAATATACACTAAATAAAATTTGTTAAACACTTTTGAAGAGAATGGTCTGAAAAATGTCTTTAAAGAATATAAATATTTCCTAATGGTTGTTCCCCCAAAGTACAATTAGCTCCTAAATTATTTTAGATCATTAAATTTATCTAAAATTGTTTCACATTTTGAAAATTTGAAGACTATGTAAAGGATTTCTTTTGGCTTTCGTTACCTGACTGGCAGGCATCTCTCCAATCACTGCCTCATAAGGAGGGGGCAGCTCAGTTGGATACAGCATTCCTGGGCTGTTAATGGTTACTTCATATAAAGCGCTGAATGGGGAATGAGGAAAGTCCAAATGGAGACCTCTGTCAAAAAACACAAGAAAACTTAATAATTAAGAAATTGCATTGGATTTATTTGGTAAACTATTACCTACACCACAGTGATGCAGAGTGTTCTCTGAATTCAAAGCCAATATACTACAAAGAATTATATTGAAGAAATTTATTAGACAAGCAAAAGGAAGCCCTCGTTCACAGCGTAGCTTTAAAAACTGTATTTCATCTTGGATGCCATCTGTCTCTACCAGCCCATTTTGCAGTCATTAATGTCCTTCACTGCTCCACAATAATACACAGTAACTGCAATGATTTCCTTAGAAAATTAAATCTCATTTTCAACTTCAAGTGTATAATGTTAACAACTGCAAAAGAGTTACCTGTAAGCTGATCTCTGCTTTAAGTTCAGGCATTGTTATCCTTCTCTTAACTAAGTTCAATCACTTCCCTATTACAGCAGTGCTTTAACACAAATATTTCCAGGTGCATCCTAACACATTTGCAAAAAATATGTGTAATCTCTCTGGAAAAGAAGCACCTGATGTAAGCGAAGGGCATTACTTGGCTTCACATTCTTTGAAAGAGCCTCATAGTCTGTAGCTCAGAACTATGTGATGACTATAACTACAGGGAAGAGAATCACCTCTGTGCCTCTGTCACCGGTGTGCAGGTATATTCTGGTGGGTAGTAGGGTGGAGGTGGTATTGGTGGTATGAACTCATCAAAATCCAAGGTTTGATGCAGAATAGTTCCATGTGGAGTCATGCAGTCAGGATTCGTAGAATGTGGCCTCTGTGGCAGAAACTGAAAATGAACATGTCAGGTTCCTTCAAATGGTAGAAACCTTATCACCAATAATAAAAATTTTAATAAAAGGTCAGTATTAGCAACCTTGACCAATACCCAATTTCATTAATATCCATACTGAAATGAAAGAGACACTCCTGGAAGCATAAGAATACTTGCGATCAGTGAGGAGTGTGAGTCAAATTGCCAAAACACAACACCAAGTTTTACTAAAGACACAGAGGCCTGTGCCTCAAAGTCAATCACTTAGGATGCAGAACAGAGACATTTAAAATTAAACAGCTTTGCAAGAAATAATTCTACCTTGTAATACAATTTTATTATAGCACTACATAATCAGCTGTATTTTAATAACTGATGAACAACAGACACAACTATTAAAAAACCTGTTTGCATGGTTTTGTTTCCAATCTGAAATGTCTTGTGCTTATAGAGAAAAAAAGAACCCCATCCCCCCAAAAACAAATAAAACAAACTAGAAACAAGATACCACATATTAAATTTTGAATAAGACAACTACAAACATCCCACCTATTTTTCACTTTCAAATAAAGGGCCATTTTTATTACTCATATAAAATAAAACATTCTTAATAACCAGTTGTGGTTTGGTGATACAGACACTGCACACTGTCCTGGGTTTGGCCAGGACAGGACAATTTTCACCAGGAGCCAGGAGGGGACACAGCCGGGCAGGCTGACCCAAACTGGCCAAACAAACGGGGTACTTGATACCATGTGCTGTCATGCTGGGTTCTGTGTGGGGGAGCTTAGTTGCGGCTTGGGAGCGCGCTGGGCATCCGGTGGTGAGAGAGTTGCTCTGTCTATTCCCCTGACTTTTTTGTATAGTCTTCTTATCGGTATTGCTGTTGTTTCCTTTGCTGTTCTGTTAAACTGTCCTCATCCTGACCCAGGAGTTTTGCCTTTTCTTCCCATTCTCCACCCTACCCCAGCAAGGGGAGGGGTGGTCCTTTGTTGCTGGCCAGGGCTAAACCACGACACACGCTGATATTGGGTATAAATGTTTTAAATACTGGTATGAAAGCAAGAAAAACCTTTGTTCATATAAACATCTCAAAACCAGAAAGAAAATAACCACACTGAATAATAAAAAAAGTAACAATACTGAGAACTACTGTCAACATTCGTGACAGGAACCTAATCAGCTTCTAGCACAGCAGTGATATCAAGAAGCCATTCCGATATCTTTGATACTGGAAACACTGTCACTTAACAAGACTATTAAGAAAGGCTTGAACTACTTCAAGATCAAATATGGACCATTCTGCAAATCACATGGAACCCTGCCACCTTGACCTGGCTTTATATGGTCCCCACGGATAAAAGGGGATCAAGAGACAATCCAAAACCACAGAAGAATTCTTTCTTCTCAAGGCAAGCTTCTGCTGTCATATCACTTTTCGCAGGTCAATAGATGACTTGGTCTTTAGCTCTTGCCTTTTAAAAAACAAGTGAGCTAAGAAAATGTGCTAATTTGTTTTTTATACTGGAACAAGAAAATATGTCTTTGTACTGTTGTCTCATTACATATTATCTGTTTAAATCTACGATAAAGGCTTAAGAAGCCATGAAATAAAAGCGAAAATGCTTATGCTTAGGAGATCCAGCAAAGTAAATTACCTTAATTTTTAATGTCACAGTTTTATTTTTTACTTTTTCAAATTTAACTTGGTACAGTCATACCCAATTTCAATTACCATAGAAATGATATGAGTCTTTGGTATTTAAACGATTGAATTACATCTTAATTCTACTAAATACACTCTATGTATGTTGTTTCAAAGGTCAAAGCTGTAATAATGCGACACAACAGAGGGTCAGGAGGACCAATTTCAACTGTTTGTGAAAATGAACTATTAGTTGCTTACTAATCATCTCTCTAGAGATATTTTCAGAAGTAACTATTAAATAACGAATTTCCTCTGCACAATATGTTATATCATTATATCTTACAGCCAATCAATGACTTTCAGCCATTGTAGACTACTACAGGAAGAAAAGACATGACATCTACCTGACTTACTCTTCATTACATAAAATGTCTGATGCTGTTAAGCACTCTTTCATGCGAGATGTGATGCTGTTAGCCTGAGTACTATCCGACATTTCTACAGCTTTGTCTTACAGAATAAAACTAAATTTCTGCAGTCATTCAGTCTAAATCAACCTCATCTTTCAACAGCCATTTCCCAAACTGCAAAATTACATTAACTGCTAAACACCAAACTTCTGCCTTAAGTGATACAATCATCAGCACTCATCAGTCCGCTACCATCCCACTGAAGAATCTTGTAGGAAAAAAGCAAGACAAACTTCAACTTAGTGACCTAAAAATTGTATAAAAATTTATCGTAAGGATGACAAGTATCTGTATACTCTGGCTCACATTTTGTACCCTACTTGATTCCACCAAACTCAGGACTACACTAATTTCCCTAGTAGAGTTGATAATCCGTGTCATTTTTACAGTCTGGAAACTAAACAATTGTCTTTTACAGCTTTCTTTACCTTCTCCCAGACTATTTCCATATACCGCCAAGGAACCCAAGCTTTGGTTTGCACCAGAGAACACACAGCTCCATCCCTTCTGTTCTGAGTTCCCTGGAGCTCGTTTCAATCAGCCATATATAGGGAGCGATACTCTTAACACTCCTCCAAACAAGGCAATTAAAGACACAGCACTTTTACAGTGAGTGAACTATCAGCACACATTTTGTGGGATGTGACAGAAGGGAAAGGTTTTACACAGCGTAGAAGGGCTGGGATTCAAGAAGGAAAAGACCTAACATTTAGATGCAGCTCAGTTTAACAGTAGAATCACTTGCATCCCTTTCAAGAACCTTGACTTTGAATACAAACCATGGCAACGAACTCTGTGTGACCAACACTGAAAATGAGTGGCTAAACAGACAGGAAAGATGCACATATTTTGGGAGGGGGTGTGTGTTTATAAAGAACAGTTTACCTGTGTGATATCATCCTGCTGGAAGGCACAGAAATTAAAGTGAAAAAGGCTGTAAGAGGGAGACTAGCAGCAAATATACGGGATTATCACAAAGAACAGACATTTTTTAGAAAACAACTGGAAAGCTATTAAGTAGGAATTAAATCATATCTTATTCCATACTACCCTACTAATCTCTACTAGCCTGCAACAGTTTATTTATCCTACAGTAAAATGTATTTTAAAAATCATTAAGGGTTAGTCTCAAATGGTGAAGGCTGGCAGGGGCTCAACAAAGACTTAAGACAGAGTCCATAGGTAAGAACAAGACACAGTCAGAAAATGCAAACAGCTGACAAAGCTGGACTAGGTGGAGAAACACTGACAAATGCTTTCACAAGGAAACACACATTTTTTTGTATTAGAAGACAGTTGTTACTAAACAATCAGTCTCAAAACGTTGATGAGCAGCAACAAAAACTGCCAAACCAAAAATGGGGGTAGCTTGTTAGGTCACAAGTATAAATAAGATGAAGTTCCATTCGATTTCATTTCAAACACTACAGCACAACTCAAAAAGCAGGTGTCTTAGCCAGGCTTCTGGGATTAAACCAACGGCCGCTGCAGAAGCAATCGATAGAAAATGGTCGCAGACAAGGATGAACAGCAAACGGCACCACTCAAACGCTGTAAATAGCCAACACTGTTAAAAGCTTTGCATAATTTCATAGCTATCAATAGCTCTTCTGAACATATTTACAAGGCATAGATAGATATCCCCCGGCTCTGGAAATCCCAAATACTCAACTGCTTCTGTTGACCACCTGGAGCTGTTGGACGCTGGGAGGTTTCAGAAATCTGACAGGCAATGAAATACAGATCTAGAATTCATCACCTTCTTTTAGGAAGGATCCAACCTTATGTTTGAAGCTTGGCATTCAAACTATTATACACATGCATTTTTTTTCTCATCCTTGGACTAAAGATGGTCTTACTTTAGATTATGGAACGTGTCTGATACCTAACAGGCATTATAGATAGACCAGTGCATGTGCTAAATGGATGTACAACACAGTACACATACTGCACACAGAATTTTGTGCATTTTAATTTGACAGAGCTAAATAGCCCGATTTAAACAGCCCTCATCTTTATTTCACACTGAGGACTATGGAATTTGTTATTTGGTTTGCAATTATGAGGGAAGAATAAAACATGCTGTCTGGCTGCAGTAGGGTAGACAAGGAAGCTGTACAATGCTGCGGTTTTGTACCCAATTTCTTGGACCTGAATTCAATACAGGAGTTAGCCATAGCATCAGCAGCAAGTTGTCAGCAAGCAGAGAACTAGAATCACAAATGTTAGCAGCACACCACTTCCAGCAGGAGCAGAAGAGGTAAAATTTTTATGAAAATCCAGTTATGCTCAAGGGTCTGTGTGCCACAGTACTGAGAACTTCACACAGTGATGTAGGGCTGGAAGCCAGTGACCTCGGAGAGCTTAGAACCTGTAATAAGACACCTATGCTGTCACTTCCCAGTGAAGAAGGCAGTGCTTTGTAGGGTAACAGAACTCTTCTCTCAGGTTTTAGCTCTTCAAGGTGAAATTTAAAGTTTGGACGGGGCTCTGACCAACCTGCTCTAGTTGAAGATGTCCCTGCTCATTGCAGTAGGCTGGACTAGATGACCTTTCTAGGTCCCTTCCAACCCAAACTATTCTGTGAGTCTATGATAAATAAACCCCATTAGATAGACAGGAATAAGATTATAAAACTCACTCTCTTTTTTTATTGTCAGACCAAATTTCCAGCTCTTCACTGAGATGTCACCTAAAAGTTGGTCACTGAAGTGACTGGATTGATTGGACTTTACTATTTATGTTCTGAATATTTTGAGCATGTTGAAGTAAAAGCTGACAGAGGAGTCTCAGTTAAGGAACTGAATGAACAGCAGATAAAGACTGTAAAACACAATTCTCTAATGAAACAGTTACCTGATGTGATATAATGCAGTAAGTCCTTCTACCCGAGATCTGTGAGACTAAGAACTTTACAGCAATATTTCCAGGTATGGGACATCCCCACTAAACATCAACAAAGACATCCTCTATTCTACATATTCTGCAGCTGATTAGCACTACTGACTCCACGTAAACAACAGTGCTGGGATTCACTGCTTAGCAACTACAACATCTCTAAACCAGTAACTGCCATACATCAGCACATGACTAGTGCTCTAAGGGAATCTTCTTATCTAGAGTATTTCCCATATCTGCATGTATTTACCTCTGCCTTCCATATCACATTTAATAAATATCCTGTGTATCTTTGAAAGGAGTCCTCTGGGGCTCTGGGATTCACTGTCCTCATTTCAGTCTCTATATGTCATTTATAAAAACCTGCTAACTCTTCGGCATGGGAAATAAAAATTTCTAATTGCATATGACTAAATATTGGCATGTTATCTATTGTAAAAGCTATTTGCAATATACTTGAGTCTATAATTCTGTCTTCAGTTAACTGTCCTCCTCCTGGACAGGTTGCTTTTTTTCCTTTTCTGAAACACTGGAATCAGTATCTCCTGGAGGGAAATGTGGATACTATTTGTCTGTGAGAACAGAAGGATCATTGCTGACACTTCTCATGCATCCCTGATCTTCAAGGGGAATTGCAACACAGAAGATATTTTGATAATGAAAACACAGATTTAAATTTTTCTGCTCTGTTATTTCCAGTTGTTGTTCCTATAACCATCACAAGCCATTACCTCTGTGGTCTCAGAGGGACTGGTCTGTGACACTACATCTTTCTTAAAGTACTGACCGTATTTTAAATAGTCTTAAATACTAAATATTCTTATTCTACCAATAAAATGTGAAATGGAAAATTGTACATTTTCTTAAAATGTCAAAAGCTTTCCTACATCAAAGGTTTCTATTTTACCCTTTTATTTCTTGTGGGGGTGAGAGGAATATTTATTCAACCATATTTACATTTGCTACCAATGTACATAATTCATAATGCGTATCTCTAGAAGGTCTGTCATCTGGGTTTTCCAGTACCTTTAAGTGAGCTTTATGCCATAAAATTTAATATTTAAGTTTTGATATAATTACATTAAATAATAAAAATTACGTAAGAAGTTAAGATCAATTCTCACTTAATGTGAAGCTTCATCATGAACATTTTTTTTATTACTATGTAACCGGGATAGACAATGCCAGCAAGGTATTATCCTCATACAGAGGTGTTTTATTTGAGATGTTTGTATAGAAACATTAACTACAGCCTATTAAGTTAATCACATGCTGAATTATCATTATGGCTGATGAAAACAGTAATTAAATGTTACAGCTTGCAGGTGTCATCACTACCTTATTTCCTTTACAAAATAGCAGATTGTTTTACACATCACATAACATGAAGAACAGTTACTAAGAGCGATGGTGATAAAATCAGAATACACAGAATTGCATCAGTGCCAGTACTTCCAGGATAAGTACCGTATAAATATATTTGGAGTGGAAGGAGGACTGGAATAGGTGTACTTCATGCTTTAGCTTGCCCACAGTGTGCATTTCATGTTTTTCTTTGTTTAATTCAGGCAGCTAGCTTTTGAAGAAAAGGACGTGAATTTCTACAGTAGCCATTCATCAGACAAGACGCAAACTGAAACTGCCTTAGGCAACACATGAAATATCACAGAAGTGACAGTTTGGTTATCAAGAGATGTTTCTTCACATTACAGAACCTCAATATAATCTGATTTGATTTACACTTCTCTGCTGGAGGGGTGTGTACACAGAAAGAGCAATGCTGGGAAGCCCTGTAATGGAGTGCAGCCTTAAACTGTCTGAAGCAGTGAAACGTGTAACAAATGCTATTGCAATCTTTAACTACGTGTCACTTACTCTTGCAGCTTTAGTACAATTGGTAGATTTTTTTTTCTTGAGCAACTGTGTATAATTGAGAGAGTGAGAAAGGTTAAAGTGAGGTGGAAAATTTGGGCTACTTTCTGAAACAGTCAACTCAAAGAAGGAACAACATAGGAAAATATGTTTTTGTGTCCCATATGACAGTACAAAAGTAAACACTAAAGGAAACTAGAATATAATGCAATAAAAATAGATTGCAGTAGTTTGCAGTATTTTTTTCCTTAACGCTTCAAACCACATGTTTGTTTGGTGGGATTATTTTTAACCAACCCCCTCCCCCCCTTCAAATTAATTGGAAGATTTAATCTGCACTTGCTACAGGACAGCTTGTGCTTATGTGTTTCAGGGTATTTTTACTGACAGATTGGTACATCAGAAGGTAAGTCTCCAATAAAATACTGTCAGTTTACTTGTACAAATCAGATACTCACTGGATGCAAAAGTTAGCACAATAGCAGATACTCATGAAACATTGTTGCAGATTTTCTTGAGACTGTATTACATACCAGCTCTATAAATGCTAGGCAATAAATACCTGAAGAACATAGAACAGCTTTATGCCAGAGGGAAACTTGAAATTATTTGAAATTTGCAAAAAATCACCATTCTAACTGATTAATTTCTGAGCCAAGAACACTAACCCATCACGTGAATCACAAAACTGATGACCTAATGACAACCTAATGATGCATAATGTTTTGGCTGGCTAGGAATTATATTTTTATGCCTCCTCTTCCTACAGGAGAGCCTGTGTAGCTTTTGAATACTGTAAGAACAGAGTAAAAGAATCAGCGCAATAATTAAAACCTTTTAATCTAATAGGGATCTCTTTCTGCTGCTATCTTAAACTTCCAGCATGGTACAACCCTGCTAAGAGAAGATGCATACCTCGGTGAAAAGCAAAAGGAAAAAGCACAAATCAAGCATTAACAAGCAAGAAAAAAAGAAAGTAAATCAGCTTTCTGGGTGCAGAAGACAAAAGTGAACTGCAGTTCATGGGACAATAGACTGAAAATAGTGGAAGAAAAATATATCTTCAGGTCAGAGTTCATCTGGTCTAAGTCAGCGTAGCCCCAGGGAAGATACGCTCACTTAGGCCTGGTAGGAATCTGGCTCAGCAACCTGAAAAAAGAAAGGCAAAACTTAGGGATAAACAAGAAAAGACTTGGGTTGAGCAGAAAGAAAAATATAGTTCCCTTCTTCTGTGGAGAGGGAAGAAAATTCTCGTCAATGGAGCTGAAAGGGTGTGAGAACAGACAACTAAGCAAGAAGACAGAAAGCTGTAAGCACAAAGCATAGGAAGCGAAAAGAAGTTGACATAATTGCCAGGTGGTAAGGAAAGAATTTTAGGGAAGAAGTGATGAATGAAGTGGCAGAGAGAAAAATCATGTGCTTTTGAGGTATTTGACTTCCTATTGAGATTACTGCTTCTTGCAAATGCCCATCAGAAGCACTTTAATATCCTTCCTGGTTCATTGTCATCTGTACGTTTTTATTTCTGTTACATTGCTAAATACAATAAAATTAAGACTAGGTTAAGATTTCTGGATTATATATGGTTACACTTCTAGATGACTGCTATCATTGTTACACTAGACAGACAGATCTTTCCAGGTGTGACGATCACTTCATCTCCCTGTCATCACTGGAAGGTGAAAAGAAATCTTTAGTCAATGGGCATTCTTGTAGCAAATATCAGGAAGGGAAGGAGTGTATGAAAAGAAAAAATACCTACAAGATCATCAAAATCCTTTAACATTCAAAATACAGTGTGTTGTCAGCTGAAATGATTATTTTTGTCAATTCTGTTCGACATCCAAAACAAGCACTGTTTACAAGCCTCTACAAGCACACACAATATGAATATGCAGTGCTATATGAAAAAAGGCATTTATTTATCATTCGTAGACATTACATAGACATAGGTGCCTAACTTATCGTATCTGCTACTATGTGAAGTAAACACCAGATGACAGACTGAAGACATTCTTTAACTATAGCCCAATGACTGGAACACTTCTCTGGAAAGGACAGCCTTATCTCTGTAATTCATGCACTTAAATCGATATCCATGGCGGCTAGTGGTTTTGTATTTATTTATTTTTAAATCAATCACATGACTGCACAGCAAGTTATACAACATTTCCCTGCTGTGTAAATGATTTGCAGTTAACTTCTGGGCCCGTATTCTATCTATGCAAACTTTTAAAATACGAGAGATTTACAAATGACTGGTATTAGGTTTGTGCACTTTCCCTCTCTTATTAAACAGAGGAAAATTTCATAGATTAGCTAGTAATAGAGCTAGGTTAGAAACAGTATACCTGCCCTGCGAAATACAAAGGAGTTTAAATTGTTCTTTTTTGTTTCATCATTACATTGAAACCTCGAGAATCACAGGGATAGGAAAGCTGTCTTTGTCCAACCAAAACAAGTCAGTATCCTGTAATGCAGCTGGCTATGCAGAAGACTAATGATCCTTTTCCCTTTTGTTTCAAACACAAGGCTACTCTGCAGCTGAACGTGTTTTCCTGATGAAAACACTGTTACTGGCACAGAGCTGTGAAAAGTTCCAGTTTTGAACGCATAGTTCCCATACTCCATAGTTCTTGTACCAGAAAAGTAGTGAAAAATAACATCTCAAAGCTAAGTAATTGCTCTGGATAATGTGGAAACTGAAGATAATAAACATGTAATGACAGAAAATTTAACGTGCCTATATAACCCCGTTAACAAAAATAACATACTCCAAATTGCAAAATCCTGATTATAACTCTTACACAATATGTAAACATTTTAAACACTGCAGCTATTCACACTGCTTACAGCTGCATGCTATATTTATATAGACGCATGCAGATAAAAAAATACACCCATGTACATACACGCTCTAACACTACACAAAGACACACAAAGAGCCTGAAGTTTATAAGCAAAGGTACAAATGAGTATACGCAGATAAGGACAATATGTTATGTTGGACAATATCCTGTGTTCTCTCTGAACCATACTCACCATTTGCAGAAGATCAGAAGAAACCATCTGCATGCAACACATCGCTGTTGCCAAAGCACAGACAATAGTGGAGATGATATTGAGAGCGCACACACTGAACAATAGGTCCTGTAACAAGACATGCATCAGAATGTCATCTCTTATCTCAGGGACACAAAGGACAGGAAATATTTTTAGCAATTTGATAATAAACACTGTCAACTGCTATCAATTGACATGGTCTCAACTAACTGTGTAAAACTCATTCAGTTCGCAATGATTTTTTTAAACCAGTCTGCAAAGGGAACAACTACAGAAACAAACATCTTCCCTTCTCACAATACATTTGGCATTAGAGATTTCCCCAGAAATATTGATATTTCAAGTTTTCCAGTTCCCTGAAAGAAAAGACAAATTACTGCTTTCATAGTAGGCTCCAAGCTACAGCTATCACAAGAAAGATACTATAAAACAGACTTCTGACTAAAAAAAACAAAACATACAGAAATTTCATTGCTTTCAGTAGTTGAAATCTACGACTTAGGGTTGTGTGTTAAAAAAAATCAGTGGAAACTCTAGTATGAAATAGAGAATTTTATCCTGTATCAGGTACTCTATGCATCTGAAACATTTTTAGACATGTGAGAAAAGCAGTGACTACATCTGGGCATTTCACCTTGTGCTGATGAATTAAGTACACACGGCAACACTGTATTTTAAAAAAACCCAAAACATTTAAAATAGAACATAAAATGTTTCTGTTTACTAAGTAGAATAAATTAAAAGAAACATTTGAATTAAAACTGAAACAATTTTATAGCAAAGGTACAATTACAAAAAAAGCACCTATCTCTTCCAATCACTGGATTTTTATTCACTTTCCCAACAGCCAGTGAAAACAAACACTGATTTAGCATGCTGGCAACATTTCAAAGCTACTACAATCCTTCTACAGCAATCGCATAGCTGTTGTGACAATTATGTGGCTCAGTTAGTATATTGAACACCCAGTAAAAGTATCTGAGAAAAAGCATCACAGAGAACAGATGAAAAACAAAAGTGTTAATATACCATAAGTAAAAAAATCTCAGTGTCTAAAGAACATTTTGTAGGATTTATGTTTAACAGAGTATTTCAGTCACTGCCAGGGCATAAAATAACTTCCATGCTACAAAATCAATGCATTGCTTGCTTTGTTTTTTCCAACAGTACTGAAAATATGATATAAAGGTGCGGATTTACTCCTGCCACTGTAATTGCATGCTCTTCAAGTGACCTGCATTTGAAGACGGAAATGCCAGTCATGGGAACCAGGGAGACATTAAATGGGTCAACAAGTTCTAGTCATTTAATAGCTTACACTGAGCCAGGTTTGCTCTTGCTGATATGCTCAGTAGTTTTCCATCTTCTTGGCCAGCCCCTCAGCCAGGGGAATAATGAATCAACAGCAAACTACTGGAAGGGCCAATCTCTAACTCATATACAGAAAGTGATATAGAGGACTCATTCAAATACGAAGTCATATAGACCCACTCAGAGCATTCAAATGGAGGTAAACAGCCAAGTAAATCCCTAGAGATACAATTAACAGTGGCACAAAAAGAGATTGAGATCCTTCATGTTCTACTTTCCGTATGTCAACCTAGTTAAAGAACACCAAGGCAGAGACAAGTTCTAGGGTAGATATAGAACTATTCCCTAGCAATAAGAAACTTCATTCATAGCTTACAACAGCCATTTAGAACCAAAAGATTTAGCTAATCCAAATGTATAACGTAACACCATTTATGCTAAATAATAAGATCTACATCAAAGTTGTAAATTAGGATCCAAAGTGTCTTTAAAACCCTCATACAACTTCCATACCTCAGGACAGACTCAACTGTGCCTGTATCACTCATGACAGAAGTGTCTTTGATCTGTTCCTAGAGATCCCACTGATTCATCCCCCTATTCCAATGTTTATCCTTACCATCAGAGTAGCTTCCTTATGTCTATCCCTCAGCTGAAAACCAATGCTCCTTTTCTTCCATAGCTTTTGAGAACAGGCTATTACACAGCAGACTTTTACACCCTTCAACTCTATTATCATGCTTGAAGTCTTCTCCTCCTTTACTGCATATCACCCCCACTTCCTCCAGTCTTCAACTGAGACCAATTTCCTAGGCGTCTGATCGTTTTCTTTAATTTCACTTGGTTCACCTCAAGTTGGTACACATTCTTCCTTCAATGCAGGATCCTAAACTGGGCACAACTGAGGCCTTCCAAATGCTGACTATAGCCTAAGGATTATTTCTTGTGCTCTACAAGCTATACTCATCCTTACACATCCTGCAGTGATGACTCAGATTTTTTTGCAACTGTACATCATCAATTTATCCTTCGTCCAACATAACACTAGACCCTTTCCTGCAGAACTACTACTCTCTCCATCCTGCTACTAGGTAAGGACAGAAGCAACATCATAAAGACAAAACTATTTTTACTGAAGAAAAGGCAAAACTCAAATCTCATTCTCAATTACACTTCTCGCATTTATAAAAAACAAGGAATAAACCAAACCCATTTCATACTACCACCAATAGAGAGAGAACGATTAAATTTTTTTCCCCCAATTCCTTCCTCCCACACTCCAAAGCACAAAGTAAAATCAAGTAATGCTTTTCATTTCTAGTCTTTTTTTCCTTTGCTGCCAGCAATTCTAGAAGACCAATTGCTTTAATTTTTACTCATTGCTAACCACTGTGAAACAACAAAGTAAGTTGACTCTGCAAGTACCCTGACCTGCAGTAGTGTTTTAGACTGAACACTCAAAACGATCACTTCTCTGCTGTTGTTTGACAGTTGTTTCCCCTGCCACACATGCACTAGCTGAACTCAGTTTGCTATTCAGCATTACATTTGTTATGTAGGGCAGGGATTACCGTCCACAGTAACAATGGCCCTCTTTCCACAGACTCCTTGTCCAGGCTAAGCACGCAACAGTTAGACTACTGTTCCCACTGCAGTCTTTCTGAAGGTGAAGATACAACTAGAATGTTTCAAATGCAGTGATGCAGAATTTTCATACAGAGCAATGAAGAGCAGACATCTATCAGCCATAAAACGTAACAGGACAGCAAAGCTAAACAACTTTGGAAAAGATGTTAAGTTTACATTTTTACTGAGTAATGATTGTGGTATCCTCACTATCACTCGGTATCTCTTTGAGCAAGACTACTTCTTTAGCTGTTTTTTGTAATTCGCCACCCCCACTCCCCTGAGTCTGTTTCAACTCCAAGGGGAATCAACCCGCAAACCAAACAATTATGGAATTCATAGGACACTCATTTATTCAACTACACATAGCAAGTGAGAAGGAACAGGCTCTCAAGACCCAAAACACTCCGTGGCCCAACATGCTGCCAGCAAGACAGTGTAGGTGCTTATGCAGATCCCAGCTGGAACATGATGACAATTAAGATGTCCTTTAGGAAATGTTCTGTGAAAAAGCAGTAACCACAACAGGGACAGTTTTAACTCCCCAGAGCACCTGGCCACAGACAGCTACATTTATAGAGGCCTAAAGGAGCAGGAAATCTATATTAAATACACAAGCAAGGAGCATCAGTGACAGATTTTTGGTTTATATCTGTAAGAACTACACTAATCGGAAAACACAACACATTAATCTGTAATGGTGTGAAACACAATTCTTTACTCTTTACAAATGGCTGAACCAATCTTATCTTACACAGTGTTTTTCTGGGTATTTTCATCTTTTTAAGACAAAAATCTGATTCTTCAGCATGTTTATATGATAATTAATGCTCTGATAGGTATAATGTGCTATGTAGAATTACTCTTCTACAGGTTATGTGTACAATTTTCTTGCCACACCTTAACTCACAATTCCCTTTAAGAGTGGAAGCAGCTGTCAGAACTGCCTGGAAGCAAGGCTAGATCAATTCAGATACATATCCACAGTAGCTAGACAGCATTGTGAGCTGTTTCTCTGTGACCATTTTTTTTTTCCAAAGTAGGTCTCTTGGTACATCTCAAAAGCTGAATTTGAATTTAATACTGATTTATGAAAAAAACCCAAGTTTACATGGTTGTAATATTCTGTATTTATTACAGCTTAATAATTACCAAATTAATTGTGTCATTACCATGTAACTGTTTATCACATTTTCCCTCCCTAATGACATCTTTGACTTATACAGTGGTCCCACAAAGGATACTTGTGCATTCTCAAATCTTTTTCACACTATCATCCATATGTCTTACTTAAGGAGAGAACATTTTTTCTTATTCTTTTACTTAGTTAAGCTGTTTGCAGTATTACTCTTTTGATATTGTTTCTGTGCTATTGCATCTCAAAGTTCTGCCTTTATTAGCACAATTAAAATAATACTTTGCAACAGAAGTTTTAAAACCACACATTTTCCAAAATAAACAATCACAAAGCAAAAAGTATACTAAAACTAAACCTTTATATCTTTACATAGATATAAATAAATATACCTTTAAACTTCATATCTATCAGGAATTTATCAATCTTCAGTAGGGATTTCCTTCTCATAGAAACTCTCCCATACTTCCTATGCTTTCTCCTCCATGATAGTTCCAGCCACCTTTATGATCCTGTAAATTCTTGAAATAAGCATAATCTTGCATCCTTGAGAGTTCAAAACTGACTTCAGTTTCCTTTCAGAAGGGAAAAATGCTTGTTGCACAAAATTTGTGGTCTTGTAAAACATCTCAGCTGGAAATCTTCAGAACAAAAGCAGAGTATAAGATGAAAATGAATGTAATTCTTCAGCCATACAAAGACTCTGGGCACCAATCTCTTAATCCTCCAACATACTGAAAGTTATATTGGATGAATTGCACGAAAATGTGGCTGTGTGTGGAACAGAAGATGCAGACATTGGGATTTAGCCCTTTGTGGAATAGTCATCCCATGTCAACGCTTCTCAGCATTAGAAACATTGTTTTCAGATATATTAAGCCTCAAGAATGCACACTGGCAGCAAACTCAAATAGCTACTAAATTCAATAAAGCAATTTTCATCAAACCTACTCTGCCAAGCCAAAATTGTAAGCAGGGTCAGGTATAGACCTCTTCTCACATGAATCAACAAACT